AATGGAAGTCCGAACTAGTGAAATTCACCAAGAATAGATCTTTGCGGTACCCTATTTTTAATGAAACAATTTTGACAGGTTTAAAAGTTACTATTGTTTTTTTTTCAGGTTGACTGAAGTCTTGGGGAGAAGGAAAGCACTGGAAATGCTTCTGACTGCTAAAGTGTATACTGCTCAAGAATGTTTAGATATTGGTCTGGCCTATAAAGTGGTGAATACCGAAAACAGAGTTGCGGAGGCTTTAGAATTTGTGAGGACTTTAGTAAAACACCATTATTCTCTGGTGCAATCTTACAAGGAAGTTGTGGAAGTGGCAACGACAACAGATTTCGAAAATGCTTTGGATTTCGAGAAAGATGCTTTTAGTCCAAAATGGGGTTCGGATCTCAATCGTGAAGCCTTGAGAAAAAAGATAAAACACCTTTCGAATTAATCAGGGCATTTCTGATGGGTTTCAAGAACACCAAATGATGTTCCGTTCTTATTGTAGTGTTTATGGCCCTGAAAAAAAAATTTGGCCTGCGAATGTGAAGAATCACGTGCTATTCCGGATGAAAATATTTGTGAATGCCATGGCAATATTGTAATCTACGAAGTACCGATGGTTCCCCTTCTCATTTCATCTTCCACTTATAATAATGAAAAGTCAAATAAACTATAGTGTCAAGATATTTTACCAAAATATTTATTGTCTTTATCCAGTTCAGATAAACAATAGACATTTTATGTGATGTAATTCGGCGATAAATTCACTAGCTGACCCGGCAATAGTATATTGTACAACAAATGAGAATAACGACATATTTCTCAGGAGCGCAAATCAAGCAATTGAGAAATATGCCACTTTCTAACGCATTGAACACTGTACTTTTTCTACGGTTGCGTTGTTTTCAAGTATTGAAAATTAAAATACATATACAGTGTAACCCATTTTTAATGGAAACACCCCCCTAAAATTTGAAGTTGTCAATCGATTTTAATAATTTTTTATTTAAATGTCAAGTACTGAAAGGTCTACCTTGGGACAAAATTTGATATGTTTATTGGAGTTTCAGGGCATACTACGATATTTTTTCTTAGTCGAAAATCGGGATTTTTTATTAGCGATTTTTTTATTGAAAAAATCACTACTCCACTGAATTCAGAGTGCCTCTAAATATGTTAGACCAAAATTTCATGGGAAAATATTCATCATTAACAAAGTTATTACAACTCAAATATTCGAAAATTCACACAGCTACAGTCACAATATATCATTTTTTTTATGATTTCAACAATGTGCCGCCAGATGAAAAAAAACAAATAGCGTAAATATTTTTAATGAAAATAACGGAATTACATTCACACAATTCAACTAACAATGAAGCAAAAAACTTTAATAAACGTAACTAATAACTAATTATTGAAATGTTTCGATTCAGTGCAACAATTAATTCTAACTCATATTCTAGTAGCNCGAGTACATTTGAACCAGACTAATAGTAGAAGTGACAACGCCGCCTCATCTAAAATATTAATTTATGCATACTGTAGAATTTTCAGGTTGATCCGTTGTCTGGTTTGCCAGAAACGTCTAATTAACTATTATCCTGGAAATCCCTGTACCTATACCCATAAAAACAATTGGTTCTAACTCTCTGATATTATTTTCACATTCATTTCAGGAAAAATGATGTTGGACTTACGTACCTGCCTTTCCGAACTAGAGAACTGGAAAGAAGGGAAGGCTGTAATCCTTTGCGGTGAAGGTTCGAACTTCTGCTCAGGAGGTGACTTGGAATTCGCTAAAGCATCTGGAACGCCAGAAGAGGGCGCTTATATGTGCTTTTTCATGCAGGATATCCTCAAAAGATTCAGAAAGCTACCACTAGTAACCGTAACTCTGGTGCATGGACCCGCGTTAGGTGGTGGTGCAGAACTTGCACTGTTCTCGGATTATATTTTGCTCGCCGATGACGCTAAATTGGGTTTTGTACAGGGTGCCATGGGGATAATTACGGCATGGGGAGGCAGCACTAGGTATTTGTATTGTCTATTATCCCAAGAAGCATTTTTTTCAGTAATAATATATCTACTATTTACCAATATATAAATTAATACAGAGTAATTTTTCAATATAAAATATCTAATGAAGGTAAATAAAAGGAGAACTGTTAGACTCTGCAGCCAACTCTCCCACAGTTCCTTTGAAAAGTCGCTTTGCTATCAGTGATATCAAAAATCATGGAAAAAGTCGTTAATCACCATATCCTTAAATATTTGGAAGGCTTCAACATCTTCAGCGATCATCAATATGGCTTTCGGAAACAAAGATCAACAGGCGACCTTATATCTATAACATCCATATTTGGAATAACGCAATGGAGCTGTTGCGCTTGATATTTCTAAGGCCTTTGACCGTGTGTAGCTTGAGGGTTTGCTGGCCAAACTTTGATGCTATGGCTTGTTGGATCTTTTTTGTGAATGGCTCTCCAACTTCCTGAAAAAAAGTTCCCTGGAAGTGGCCGTCGATGGATATCTCTCGAATATTTTACCATCAACGTTGGTGTACCCCAGGGATCCATATGGTCTCCAACCCTCTTTTAATTGTATGACAACGACCTATTGGAGAAAACCAAGAATCCAATATATTCGAGAGGGGACCAAAAAAAAATGGGAATTTCGTCATAACTTTCTTATTTCTCAATATTTCAACACCAAATTTTGATCACCTTCAAAGTGCTCGCCTTTGAGCACAACGCACTTCTCCAAATTATCCTTCTACTGTTCAAAACCTGCAATTTTTTTTCAACTCCTCGATAGGGCTGGCGAAACGCTTTCCTTTCATATTTCTTTTGAGTCTGGGGAACAAAAATAAGTCACAGGGGGCTATATCCGGTGGGTATGGGGGGTGGACAATCGGTGTCATGGCGTTTTTGGTCAAAAATTGCTTCACAGAAAGGGCGGTGTGGGCCGGCGCGTTGTCATGATGGAAGAACTAGTCGCCTGTGCGCCAAGGATTTGCTCTTTTCTTCCGGATACAGTTTGATCCGGAGGAACGAACTCCGCGTACAAAACACCTCTACAATCGAAGAAACAAATAAGCATTGTCTTATGATGCACTGTTTGGAACCTTTGGTGTAGTAATGAATATTACTGGAGTTTTTTTCCTCAACACCAAATCGTTATTTTTAACACCTCGACACGTGTTTCGATCACCAAGTGATCATCTTCAAAGAGGAAGATTAAAACTAGAAACTAGTGCGTGCTAATCCTATTTATGCTATAAAGGTAACCCATACAGGGTAAACCATCCAGGCCTACCAACCAGACAGGTATACCAACCTAAATTAATTTTACAATTTTGCCTTATCTATTATTTTACAATATATGTTTATATAAAACAATTTTCATCTATATAAAAATTAATTTCACAATATTGCCTATCATTTTGAAAATTTTCCAAGATATTAAGAAAAAACTAAAGCCCCATTTTTTTTCACTTAATTGTTTATAACTTTTGTAATTTTCATCGGTGCGTTTTCGGACTTTCCCTCAAACTTTCTAGGCAAAAATACGAATCGAATGACAACTTGGTCGTAATTTTTGGACAGGGCTGAAAAATGTTACAAAAAAAGTACATGTGAACTAGACTATAATAAGGCGATAGACATTTGAGAATCAGTCTGAAGTTCAGTTACAGCTTTTGGGTTATTAAACATTCGGCACAAATTTGAGGTACTATTCCTTGGACTATTCTAAGGATATTTTGCCTTTTGACGATTTTTAATAGGGCGCTTTGTTTCGAACAAAGGGAGCGAAAAAGAATTTCGACAATAACAAATCATTACTAAAAACGGAATTGTTAGATTTTTTATTATTTGCTAGGTCCAGTGTATTACACTATACTTTTATTTCGGCTACGTTAATAATTTTAAAATGACCAAAATTGTTGTTGTCAAAGTTTTTTTCGCCCCGTATCTTCCAAACAATGCGTCCTATCAAAAATCACCACAGGACAAAATATCCTTAGAATAGTCCAAGTAATAGTCATTTAATTTTTTGCCGCATGTTTAATAAACACCCTGTATTGGCAGTGAAGTAGTGAAATAAAGTTGAGTTCAATTATACAGTGAGGTGAATTGGTGTCGAACTCACGAGACAAAACACAACAATATTTCCAGACAGGGTGTTTTTTTATTATTAAGTTGAATGAAAAATCCATAGATTTGTAACAAAATATAATTTTGAATAAAAATTCATAACAAAACAACTGGGCAGTTCTTGAGATTTCCTAATTATGTGTATGATGAGTCTATGGTTTCTGGGTCAGTGCAATAGCTTCTGGTATGGTTTCCTTTGATGATGGAACTTCTTTCGTGAATATTAAACGATATAACAACGCTCCGAAAAATCCTGCAGCAAGAGGACCAACCCAATAGACCTGAAAATGGCGGATATTTTCAGTACGAACATTTAAATACAGAAAATTTCTAATTGTTAAAGGTTCAGACATGAATTTTAAAAAAGTGAAGTCCGAAATGATATGAGAAAGTATGATATGAAAATATGATGAGAAATAAACAATAACCCCAATGAAAAATTACTAATTACTGTTATCTGAAATAGAAATGAAAGTATGATAATTACAAATATAAATGATGATTTGATTTGTTTTAATTTTGAATTTCATGGCAAACTTGGCGAAAAGTGAACAAGACGCATAACTCCGTTATTTTTTGTATTAGGATGAAATTTTTAATAAACTTTGAAGTTCACGAAAGAGTTAGCAATCGATGAAGGCAGCCATACACAAGGTGTCTCATTTGAAAACATACTTTTTTCAATAAATCGAGAACGCAATATTCAATTGATTTTCTGTTAACACCACGGTAATCAACAGAAAAACAAATAGTTCTCTAATCCAAACCAACTTGTATCTTCGATAATGAAGAAGTTAGCAATAGTGCCTACTTAAATTTGATCACCCTGTATATCCAGTCGACTTTGTGACTTACCCAATGATCTTTCCAATCCCCATTCATCAAAGCTGGTGCGAAACTTCTTGCAGGATTCATGTTTGCTCCAGTATAAGGTCCCTAGAAAAAAACATTTCATTTTAATCGAAGATAATCAGCTATAGAAGTAAAAACGATTATAATTTCAGGGTTCCTTTATTGCTCGAATTCATGGAAGTTTCCAAAAATTCCTGCTCTCTCAAACCTCAGAAACATGAAGAAGTCATAAATTATTTGGAGCAAAGAAAACTGTTAACAAATAAGATGAATATTCAAATTTCGCAGGCTATGAACATTAGATTAGTATTTTTTTGGTTGGTATACTCGTCTCGAAGATATTAGTGCGGTCAAATTAGACCAAAAAATAAGAGTAAAGCTACCTAAATTCCCAATTCAAAAGGTGTAAAAGTTGTAATCGTCATAATATGCATGAGTACGGCACGTATACAGGGTGTTCCTTAAACACATGCTGATATTTAAAGAGGTAATTCTTAGACCCATTTTAAGAAAAAAACTTCCTATGGACGTATGTCCTGAACACCCTGTATACATCTCTGTAGTTGTAATATATGTTGAAATATTTTTTTATCGCTCATTGTATATGAATTATTTTCCTACTCTTTATTGTTGTTTAATGAAATCGGGATGCGTAAAACACAGAAGTCTGTTATTTACGATTGTTTCGAAAAGGTAGATTCTGATATTAACAACACAAATATGACATACATCATTGACGGAGAATACTTACTAGATCGCGTTGTGTGGGATAACGAAAAAACACTCAACGTTAAATAAATACGTACAGTATGTACGTATTTATTTGCTTCCAGAGTTACTGCCGTATTTGATGGCTATAATGATTGCACGAAAAATATCAAAGCTGCAGAACAACGTCGTCGAACTTTAGCAACATCTAAATCAATTGATATTTTATTTGATGAAAATATGACTGTTTCAACCAGTCAACAAAAATTTCTTACAAATACTCACAAGTCTCGGTTCATTTCAATGTTGAAAGAAAAATTTACTGCTGAAAATATATTGGTGAAACAAATTAATAATGATGCTGATGTATTGATAATTCAAACAGCAATAGAGCAACTCGATTTCACAAATACAACTATTGTTGTTGGTGAAGATGTAGACTTAGCCGTATTACTCACTGCTCGAACTCCAAGTGGAAAAACTGGTTTCTTCTTAAAACTACGAAAAGCTTAACATCAATCGAAAATATATTCATTAAGAAGTTTATCTACTTTTGCAAAGTGTCAAAATCATGTACTATTTATACACGCAATAACTGGCTGTGATACGACGTCTGCATTTTACAGGAGGGGTAAAACAACAGTTTTCAAAATGTTTGAAAAACAAAATTCAGTTCAATGTGCTTAAGTTTTCAAAAATAGTAATTCAACTCGACAAGAAATTATCACTAACGGCATTCGCTTTATTCTTTCTATGTACGGAGCTCCTGCTTAGATAAGTATAGATCTGCATGTTTCGTTGAAAATACCAAAAGTAAAAAACAAGTACAGTTACTTTGTCTTCCTCCAACCTCAGTTGCTGCTCATCAACATCTTCTTCGAGTATATTACCAAGTTCAAGTGTGGCTTGGTTATCAGCTAGACTCTACAGACTGGGGTTGGAAGTTGGTCAACAATTTATTAGAAACAGTCGAAACTTTACCTGCGCCGGAAAAACTGCTGAACACAATATTTTGTCACTGCGAAAAGGGGTGCATTGCTGAATGTGGTTGCAAAAAAGCCGAACTGTTTTGTTCTCTGGCATGTACACATTGTCAAGGCCGGTCGTGCTCTAATATTGAATTACCAACAGGAGGATCTGTTTGATTCCAACGAGGCGACATGCGATACATCGCTATTAACGCAGTTTACATGTACTTAGGATGAAGATGAAGAAGAACAAGAAGAACAAGACGAACAAGAACAAGGAGATCAAGAAGAAGAATTTGAAAGATACGACTCGGACGATTAAATTTCACTATTTTTTTTAAATTTAAATTGCTTTTATTTATTCAATCTCTGCTAATATCCATTGTTTTGCAATAGTTTCAAATTAAACAGGATCACAACTGACCCGTGGAATAGGCCTACTGAGGAAACCACGTTGAAAAAAATGCGCTAAGTACACTACTTCATAGTTGGCGTAGAAACGAGTGCATACTATGACGATTACAACTTTTACAAGTTTTTAAATTGTTATATCTCAAAAACGATGGCTCGTAGGAAAAAAGTATTGGTACATTTTCTGTAGATAATTTTATGATCTACAATTTTTGTCTGAAGTATTTTTATGATAAAACTTACTGTTTTGCTGAAAATCGCAAAAAACTAATTTTTCAGATATTTGACCTTGAATAAAAATTTTGTCATACAGGATAAAGATGGGGAACTTTAAAATTTCACTTTTAATCATATTTTAAACAATCTTACTGATTTTCAACTTGGTGGGAATTTAGGCAGCTTCGAATGTCTAAATTGACTGGACTATATGTTCACAGTTTCAGCTGTTTAGTATATTTAGTTTGTTGGTGAAAGGTATAAAAGTGTGCAAAGAAAGCGTTCAGTACGGTTGAAAATCAATTCATGGCTTTTGCATTACGATAATGCTTCTGTTCACTCTTCATTGCTTGTTCGTAATTATTTGACCGAAAAACAACACCGTAATCATGTCCCATCCACTGTATTCACTAGATTCAGCCACCTGTGACTTTTTCCTGTAACAAAGATGGAAGAGACCCATGAAATGATGGCGTTTTGCGACGATTGAGGAGACAACATCGAATCGCTGAGATTTTGTGTAGATAATTCCATGATCTACAATTTTTGTCTGAAATATTTTTCATGATAAAACACCATTTTGCTGAAAATCGCGAAAAACAAATGTTTTTGACATTTGACCTTGAATACAATTTTTTTCATACAGGGTCAAGATGGGGAACTTTAAAATTCCATTTTCAATCATATTTTAAACAATCTTACTGATTTTCAACTAGGTGGGAATTCAGGCAGCTTCGAATGTCTAAATTGACTGGACTATATGTTCACAGTTTCAGCTGTTTAGTATATTTAGTTTGTTGGTGAAAGGTATAAAAGTGTGCAAAGAAAGCGTTCAGTACGGTTGAAAATCAATTCATGGCTTTTGCATTACGATAATGCTTCTGTTCACTCGTATTTGCTTGACCAAAAACAACACCGTAATCATGTCCCATCCACTGTATTCACTAGATTCAGCCACCTGTGACTTTTTCCTGTAACAAAGATGGAAGAGACCCATGAAAGGATGGCGTTTTGCGACGATTGAGGAGATTACACCGAATCGTTGAGAGAGCTGAATGACATATCAAAAAGCGCATATCAGAACTGCTCCAAGGTTTGGAAAAAAAAACTGAGAGGAACCACTTTGAAGAGGCCTCAGTGGGACATCCGGCTTGGGAATTTTCGGTAGCTTATATGGACGAGGTGGTAATGCCTCGGTTCTTTGTAAAACTATATTCACATCCTGGTTCAGGATCCACGAATAAGCTGATAAGACCATAGAAATTCATAAACATAAGAATGATTCCAACTATAAGGAAGAGAACTTGAACATCAGCAGATCAGCCTTCTATCGGTAGATTCGTTCTCTCTTTTAGGTTCTCGTTTTCGGATAGCTTTCTGTGTATGAGTTGGAGTGCTTTTTCGACCGGAACGTTGGTGTAACGACTTTCCACTTCGAAACTAATTAGTTGACCCTGGAGCTGATGATCGGTTTAAGTGGAACGTCCTTCTTGTGGATTTTGGGTAATCCATACAAGTGAGGGGGCTTACTGTAGTGCGGTGATAGCGATGATGTTTCTTTGTTCGAGAAATAGACTTGGCATTTTTTCAAAATCTGGTACAACTGGTACGATTGTAGTTGTAGTTTACAATAATGAAAATAGTTTCAAATAAACTATTACAAAGTTATTATTATTACAAGGAATTTTCTGAAAACGGTGACTGTGTAAATTTCTGGATTGGTTGTTAGATATGGATCCAGAAGACTAGCATATTCTCCATCAAGTTATTATTATTACAAAGAAATTTCTGAAAACGGTGACTGTAAATTTCTGGATTGGTTGTTAGATATAGATCCAGAAGACTAGCATATTCTTCATCACGGCCAGGAATCCTGGTTGGCTCATTTGTAATCTGAGTTAGTCCACTGCTTATTGTAAAAGCATCTGCTTCGCAACTTTGTTTGTCGATAATATTTGAAAATTTGAGCCTTTCGATATTGTGGACATTGAAATCATCGAATATCTCACAATGCGGTGTTACTTAAATACAAGGTTCATTGAGTGAGTTCAAATATACCTATTTTTGTGAAACTAGGAATCCAGAAGATGAATTGGCCTAAAAATAAACAGCAATACTTTCACTGAATTCCATCCATCTTGATGAAGCCACACCTGTTCATTAGTTTCCAAATGGAATACGAATCAGCATATTATGCCACGTGCATGCATAATCACTGGACTAACAGGGTCAAGATAAACTTTGCATTCTGATATACCATGACGAATATGAAAACTATTATAAATAATTGGTCGAATAAGTACAGGTGTTGAGAATAATTACATTCTTAGTTGTAGGTACAGATAAAAATAGTTGTTGTGCTTGAAGTAAATATGTTGAGGTGATGTCTTTTGAAATAATTTTCTATTTGCATTTGAACCGGATTTCTGATTGAATGAGTCTATTGAAGGTTTAATTTGAAATCAGTCAACCGTAATGAAATATACCTAACTTGAAGCCAAGGTATTCCTCAATGATATTTCCATTTTGGAGAATAGGAGAAAATGAAAGATAATGGAAAATACTGGATTTTCCATCCAGTATCCAGAGTAATTATATACAGAAGAATCATTATTGACTGAAATTAGGTTCTTCAAGAGATCCTCATCATCTTATTGAGCATACTGAATGACATTTCCATGATAATAGTAGGGGAGCCCGAAAAAGTATTTTGCAAGCGCTGCAGATGCATCCTATGGAAGCCGTCTACCATNGTGTCCATACTTTTCAGCAATACTCTCAAGGACATACACTTTTTCAAATGTTTTTGTCTGTGAAACTTTAAGTAGTTGGTTTTTGGTATAGTAATCTTCAAAATACAAATTTTTATTCGGTAAAAAACGTTGTATTTAATCTTTCCTCGAATTTTTATTCGGCACTTTGATGAGCTGTCGCGAATTAGTATCCAAATTTGGAATCAATGTGTTTTCAAAGCATTCCTTGAAAATATTAGTTTCCATGTTCTAATGATAGTCAACATTGCAGTCCTCAAGTTTTTCCATATAATTTCAAAGAATTTGGAACCCACTCTGTACTTCCTCCGCAATGCACAATGATTAGTCCCGATCCTTTGTTTGCAGGCATGTTAGGCGCACACATTATCGAACCATCAGTCCACGCTTTCGTAACTGTATCGTGAGTGTCATACCAAGTTTCGCCAAATAGAAATTTTTTCTGTTGTTCTTGTCTATATTTCTATTCTTCTGCTTTCCATAACTGCCTGACGTTTGTTTATTATTTCAAATCTAAATCCCAGTTTCTTTATCCAATTCTGTGTCATAGCAGTTCACGTAATGGCCGGAAGTATTCAATTTCTTTCTTATGATTTCAGTTGTAGGAAGCTCATTGCGTTTCTAACAGTCATATATTGTTTTTTTCAATGATTTTATCAGATGAACATCTAAAGGTTTTGGTAAGCCTGTATCACATCGCGTCTTGCGTTCATAAGGTTTCTTTTTGACTATTTTACGTACAGTTGAGGAAGGAATTTCGGTCAAATTTGATGTTGTTTGTAATAGTTTGTTTCCCTCGAAACCAAACTTGAGATGTAGATTTTTATACAAGTTGAAACAGACTGTCTGTGTTTCAATATTCAAATGCATCCGAATCTTTTTCACTGGTACCTCTTATTCGCATTGTTCACCATCGTTATTGGAATCACTACACTGGAAAAAGTCTGCGTTGTTATCACACTTGTTATTACTATTAGTACTTGTCCAAGGACGCCAAATTTTAAACAGATAACAAAAATTTTAAGTTATTATAACTCAAATCGCGAACAGTTCCTGAACTGAATACGACGACGATAACCATCCCCGCATTCCCGATTCCTATTCGTCATCGTAACATGACCCCAAATTCAGTTTTATGACTCTTCAGTCAATCATAAAACTCGGTTAGTAAAAATTATCCAATACAATGCAAAATTTGATCTGTAGCCACAAACAGACGAGAGGAAACGAATTCTGTTGGTTTTCAAATAGCCAGATTCTTTAAATTTTTCTATTACTCACGAATCCCATGTAACAAACCATTGTGAGATATTTCAAAAATAAAAATTGTTTATGAAATAGTAGCAATAGGTATATTACTGGTGGAACTTACCCCGGCCATGGCTAAAACGGCAATCATTAATCCGAAGCGAATTGGAACTGAATCATGTTTGTCACTATTTCTGGCGTCCCACACTCCACAACAAGTCAGAACTAGAATCAGGGAAATGAGAAACTCCACGAGTAATCCTTGAGCTGGTGTTATGGCGTGGTTGACCATTGGGGAACATACTCCTACACCTTGTTTCACCATTTCACCAGAAACGTTGTGGTAGACGTTGCCCATCAGGTTTTCTGGTGTGACAGCCTTTTTGAAACAGAAAACATTATTGAATCATTCAAATTGTTCAACTACAATTACATAATTGTTTTACCCGTTCTATTTTTATGTGATTATTTGAGAAAATGAACACCTAATGATTGAAACAAACAGTTGAGATCATATGTGCATCTCTCACAATAAGCAGACTGTTCAAAAAATGAGGTCAATGTTCAAATTTCGCGAGCTATGTATACAGGGTGTAACTAAATAAGTGTAAAACATTAAAGTAGGTGATTCCTCATCAAAAAAAAGATAGGATCTTTCATATAAAGAAATTTCATTGAAGGATTCCTTGATAAGATACAGCCCCTTAAAGGGGGTACATAAAATTTGTATAACAAATTTTTTTCACAAGCACTAAAAAAGTTACAATATTGAAATTAACCTGACATTTTGTACTACCAAAAAGACACTTAGCCAGAAATTTATTTGGTTTACCCCATGGTTGTAAGGGGTGGAAAACGCAACCCCTAAAATTTATTTCCAA